CAAGTTTATTTTCTTGGACTTAGTTTAATCATTCATGTCAAATTGACTGTTTGTCTAAGAGTGATGCAAAATACAGAAGGTCGGGAGATATTCGCGGCTGCAATTATTCGGGGTCATAAAAATATTTCAATTAAAAACCATGGTAACTGGAGTGTTATTTTAATTGAAAATGGCACGATAGTGAATTGCTGCAGTGTTCTTGAGCTGTTCTTGTGTCACTAAACCTTGGGCTCTATGGAGCTGCTTTACCAGTTCTTTTCAGAAGTAGTGCCTCGCCATATTTTGGGACTCTCCACCTATTCTCGTTAGTGTTTATTGACTTTGGCTTGGTTTATTATTACCAGCACGCAGACCAGCAACAATATGCCGCAAAGTGGCTGAAAGAGCTGTGAGGTAGCGCTACATACAAGAAGTTACCAGATAGAGAAGGACTCGCTATTAGTGAATGGCTCCACTATAGCTGCTAAATAACAGATGAATACCTAAACACTAAACACAAGGTCTTAATTGTCATAGCAACTTTCTAACAGTTTCCATGGTTTTTAATTCAATTTTTAATGACCATGAATTATTGCAGCGGCGAATATACCCCAACCTATGGTATATTTTATAGAAGATGCCTAAGACAGGAGCTAAGACAAGGAAAGTTGACAGGAGGACCTTAAGAAAACAAAGAATTTATCGTTTGGGAAAGAAAATTTGGGAAAAATTCTGCTGGCAGTAAAAACCCAAGCTGCTTGAAATCAGAAGCAGCCTGAGTCCCAACTGGGAGAATCCAATTCCACGACAGCCTTGAAAAACATTGCTCCATCCACTATAAACTAGGGACACATTTTGTCTAAAGGGAAAACAAGTCAATAAAAATTTATTCTTATCTATCTATAATAAATGAACTGCATCGAGTATTAAGTAAAATCATTTAAATTCTTCTATGACGACCATTGTCACGCCTGGTTTGCAAAAGCAGCAACCTAGCATGCTTCAATGCAGTTGTACTATCTTTAAATACTAATTTAAAGTTTCACCCATTGGCTCCCTTATTGATAGTGGAGCTTATTTCCTGCTTATATATTCCCTTTAACTGGCAGGAAAGACACTTTTCACTAATGCCTTTAATCATTTTTGTTTAACCACACCATTTTCTGGGGCAAGTCGGCAAGGTTGAGCATGAAAAATGGAGTGAATCAAAGGAAAAGTCACTTTCATCACTTTTAACACAAAACTCACTTTTAATCATAAAAACCTTGCTAATGACATTGTGGTGCGGCATTTTCTACTAATTTAAATCCTCAGCAGTGCTAAAAACTTCAAAGAGAACTATTCATGAGTATTTTAATTAAATTTTTCTCTCACTTTCATGCATTTATTCAAACCAAACAAACTATGGTTAACAGATTCTGGCGAGGGTATGCACTAAGTGCTCAATGATAGTCATTTAACATTGCTGTAACTACAATCATGAGGATATTAGAAGTTGTTTGTCCTAAACTTATGGTTTCTTTTTGTGTATTAAGTTACATCCTTGTGAAGCTATTTACATTAAAAATGCTTGACTTGGATCATTAACAGAATAATTAGAGCATTTCAAGTCTTTCCAATGACTCAAACAGCTGTGGTCGTCTTGTCCTGCTTTTTCATTCCAAATAGATGGCTACAAAAAAGTGCTATCAAGTGTCAACTTTGTCACAGTAGTGCTACCTATAATCCTAGATTAACAAGCGTTGTTCTTTTATTTTGTATACAGAAAGAGCCTTTTCTTCCTTTTTTTGCTACCAAGAAGAGCTTGATATGCTTCTCCACAAAGGATGCAGATCTACTTTCACAGCCACTATTTTCACTTTAGGCATGAAGCAATTTTGATCTTTTGTACACATCATTCACAGGGTTGCTGGGTCTTTGATAAAGGGCCTGGTACTTATCTGGTAAATTCTCCCTCAAACTTGATATGCTCTCCCAGATTTCACCTTATCAACAGCCTACACATGCTTCTGGTTTTAATTTTATTTATAAGCCATTCACAATGAATCAATGGTGAACAAGTATCTACAACAGCCTTAAAGCACAATTTTATACCATCTGTGTGTAGATATTCTTCCAGCCAAGACTAGTGCATGTCTAGTCAGTTTCCGTTTAGGTAGTTTTCTATTATCATGTCGCCCTGGACACACACACAATTAAAATGGCTGAAACTAAAATGGGTTCTTTTTTCCTTCGTTAATTCTCCAATTCATTAGGTTTGGGTGTTACTTCCGCCTGCAGGATTGTCCTTGTAGGTACATGAAAAAGAGATTAAGAAATGCAAGATAGCAAGCGATTTTTTGAGCATTAAAAAGTCACAGCACTAAATTATTTTGAACAGTGAGATGCTAATGATTTTCACAAGCATAATATTTAATAATTAACAGTTGCCACAATGGCAAAAAGCACCATCTGTATAGTACAGTACAACGCCAAAGAAGCTAAGTAGTCCCTTTACTGTTGTGTAGGTGGTTTGCTGCTCCTTCATGTGCATGCAATAACCTACCAGTAGTAGGAGCGCACATGGTTTATAGCAGTAGAGTTGAATTTGTATCACAACTCATTTTGAACTGATTCCTTGGTTTGGGAATTGTCAGTTGATCGGTTTTTGAATTAAGTAAATGACATGGTATTTTTTTGCTTGTATATCTACAACTGGTGATTACTTCACCAGTGGTATTGCTTTCAATAAATCTGTTATGTTATCTTCTCTATTGAATTATTTCTTTCCTTTATTAGAAGAAAGGCATTAAAAGATTGTGATTCCTGTGTTACAGTTTTCAGAGTTGATGTACCATTACCTTCTGTACATGTAAGCTTCTCTTCAATTAGTGAGCATCTACTTAAAATACATTTAAAGTACATTAACCTGACAAATGTAAAACATTGAAAGGGCGAGCCTAAGCAAGTGAAACAATGTACATAAAATAGATATTGACAGACTAACATTATTCATGACAGTGCAACTTAAGCAGCTCAGAACTTGATTAAGTGCAATGTAGTTCTTGGCTTACATTTATAATCAAATCAAGTTTAGCAAGCACTAAAGATAACTAGAAACAGTCATGGCAAAAATGATATGGCTAGATAGGCAACTGAAGCAATGTAGTCCAAGTTAATTCGGGCTGTGACAGACATTCAAAGTCATTCACATCAATAAAGATGGCATATCTGCTTTCTCGACATTCCTTGCAGCATTTGGACATTAATGTTAGCATGCAAGTACAGTAAGTCATCAGCAAAAGCAAGTTTTATAGTTACTTTATAGCATCTATAACCTTGCCTGGGTGGTGGAGAAGCCTTAGGACAAAATTTTTGGCTGATTTTGCTGATAGAAAACTCATTACTTTTTCCTGTGTCTTGATGGCCATTGTATTTCAATGTGCACTCCCACTTTTCATGAAATATTGAAAACTTAATTCATATCCATTTTTAATGCATAGCATCTACCATATTATGTATAAATGTGGGTGACGTTTGTGTACAGACATACACATAACCAAACATTCTTCTGTCGTTTATGTGGGGCTCACCCCAATTAAGAAGTGTTTGCATGCATTTTGACTCAAACATTGTCTCTTCTGTTGTGCCTATTCGGGTAATCTCCCGCCTAATACATAACTGTGTAATTAATGCATGTCCAGCAATGAGAGGTCACGGAGTAGTTTACGGACAATTTTTTCTTGTATACTAACCTGTAATGGAGTCAAGCATTTACATGGAGTCTAGATTATCTACCCATTTCTTCCTTCACGCGCTCCACTAGAACTACTTGCGCACCTTTTATGTTATCTCTTACCTACTGTTCTTTCCTTTTTAGGTGGATCCAGCATAGATGAAGCAAAAAACTTCGGTACTTTCTAGACATTCTTATTTGTCATTGAAATGCACGTGTAAATGTATGGTTTTATAGGTTAATGATATATTTCAACG